CGCGGGCCTCCTGCTGCAGCGCCCGCAGACGCCGGGCAGCCGCCCGCGCCTCTTGTGCCACGCGTGCAGCAGTAACGGCCGCCTCGCGAGCGGTTTGCTCACGCCGTATGTGCACAAGACGCGCTCGCTGCAAGTCCTGAAAAGCGCAGAGGGCCGCTTGCAAGTTGCGGAGGCTCGCCCCACGACGCTCCAGCGCCGGCACGGCCGTGCGCACTGTGTGCTGCAGCTGCTCACGCAGCCCCATCGCCTCCTGCGCCACTCGCTCGCGGTTGAGAATGACACATTCCTTCTGAGCCACCACAGCCGCTACGAGCGAGTTCAGCGCCTCCGTCACGGTGTGCACTTGTGCCGTCCCAGCAGCGACGGCTTCGCGCAGCTGGGCGCAACGCCACTCACCGAATTTGACGGCAAGCGCGAGTCGCTCCCGCACTGCGCAGTGTGCATCGGCAACATGTAGCGCAGACTGGAGCGATGTGCGGTACACCGCGTTGCGCCCCTCCGCCGCCGCGGTGGAGAGGTGTGCCACCGCCCAAGACGCCTCGAGCAGAAGAAGCAGCTGTTCCTTCGTCTGTGAGTCGCGCCACAGCTGCCCACCATCGTCGTGCGCCGCCCCCAAGCGCTGCCGTAGGTCCTTCTGAAGGGTCTCATGATCCTCTTGACGCTGCTGCAGTATGCCACTAATCCGTTCAGCGTCCTTGCCTTGCTCGTTGAGCCGCTCCTGCAGCAGCACCTTGGTGGCGTCCACACGCTGCACCACCCCAACAAGTGTGCGTACCCGGTTTAAGCTCTTCACAACCTCGCCGAGCTGCTGACGGAAGGCGCTGCGCTCCTGCAGCGCGCGGAGGAGCAGCGCCACACGCGCCGGGAAGCCTGTCCACGCAGTCGCGCAGCTCTCCAGCGTCTCTTCCAGTCCCACAGCCTTCTTCTGTTCCTCGCTCATGAACGCCGTCAGCGCACCGAACTTCACAGATCCCTGTTGTAGCTGCTGCTGCAGTCGTGCGCTCTCCTCCCGCAGCTCACCGAGATCCTGCCGTCGGCGCTCGACGTCTGTGATGACTTCCTTCAGGCCGAAAAAAAGCGACCGCTTCGCCCGCTCCATCTCCATCAGGCGAGACTCAAGCCGCTCGTAGTTACTGGACTGTACCACCTTCTGCTGCAGCAACGCATCGGTGCAGTTCTCCAGCGTCGACATTTTTGGCTCTTCGCAGCTCAAACGTCACGCGAAGCGGAGATTCTCCACGGTTCAATGAGGCGGAACGCGTGAGAGCCCTACCGCTCTCCTGCACAAATGTTCCGTCACCCTGTCTGTCTGTCCGCCACCCCTTCTCTACCTCTCTGGACCAGGATGTTTTCTTTCCCACTGATTCGCCTCCTCTGCGAGTTCAGCAATTGAAGCAATAGGAACAAAAGAAAGCAGAGATCAACGTGAAAGAATGTTAAGATCGAATAAAAGGTACCATGGTCATGTAAACAGTGTCACGTGATACAAATTACGGGGAGTGTGGCTTTCTGAAACGTTGCCCTATACAGGGCAGCGGTGGCAAGAGCAACAGCAGGTATACCATACATCACACAGGTCTGGTGGCAGGAGTCACGGCAGCCCTTGCTGCGTCACGGTGTTGTACCGCTCCCGTAGCTGCTGCAGCGCCTCCTCCGTGCCGTGGAACAGCTCGGGGAAGCAAGAAACAAGGCGCTTCAGTTCCCTTTGAGCCGGCGACACAGCAGCAGCAGCACCACCACTATTCCCGTCGTCATCGTTATCACTAGTCTCATCATCATCACCATCATCATCGTGTCTTTCAACATCATCATCCTCGTCAGCATCGCTGTCACACGCCGAAACACAACGTTTATCGAGTTTAATCAAGCGTCGCGCCCCCGTCACGCCAGTCTCTTTTTCGTTCTCATTTTCGTCTTCACCTGCACGATAAATAAACTCCCTCACCATCGCTATAATGCGTTGCTGGGAGGACTCCGGTAGAGCGACAAGAACGGCCCCAAGAAGCGGGCCGACACGCTGCAGATACGTAAATAGGCGATGCTCGGCGGGTGTCAGGGACACGACGCGCACCACTACGCAGCAACGCAAGGCACGCCACACCTGTAGCAGGAACGCCGTGCTGCCGCTCACGCCCTCACCCCGCAGCGTTGTCTGCATGTCCGGCGGAGGCAGCGGACGGTGGCGCTGCTGCCGCTGTTGGTGGTGGTGAGTGGAGTGCATATCGCCGTTGAACAGGCTGTCAGTAGGCTCGCTGGTCAGCTCCAATGGTGGCGTTTCGCCGTTCATGCACGACTGCTGCAGTACATTCAGCGTCGTCAAAAAAGAGTTACTCTCCAGCGCAATTCCTTTGATGTACGCCGCGCGAAATGCTTCCTTGGCCGCGTCAAATTGTCGCGCGGCGTGGTGGATGGCAGTTAAGTCCACATCAGCGCGCACAACGAGAGGGTCGAGGTGGCCCAGCTCCTTTGCAATTTTGTGCGTCCCCAGCGCAGCGCAACAGGAAAAAACAATGGTACTGGGCTTTAACAGCCGCGTGATGGGCGCACTGGATGTAGAGTTCCGGTAGTCGTCATCATCCTCAGTGGTGCGCCACTTGTCCACAACGTCGCGAAGCGTTCGCTTCTTATGGCGACACTTCCGCCGCCGCCGTCTCGGCATGTCCAGCAGCGCCTGCTGCTGCTGCTGCTGCTGTTGATTATCGATGCAGGCCTGCGTACCGACTGGTGCCCCCTTCGTGGGGTTACGGTGCGGACAATAAATGCTGGCAAAGTCGTGGAACTGTGTCTGTTGACATGCAACCACCAGCACGTGGCAATCCAGCAGCGCTTGACGCCCGTCTCCGCGGTTGGTGCACTGCACGCCTCGCCCCGCGAACTGTGCAACGGTCACGGGCTGCCGCGTGATGATAGTGATGCGCGACGGGTGGATGAGCTCTGGCACTTGCAGCAGCCGCTCCACGATGGCGCGACCAACTCTGCCACCGCCCACCACGACGACGCGGAACTCGAGTGGCGACAGCAGCTTCTCCTGTTCTGGCGGCAGGCACGTTGGCGGTGGGGCGCGGCACGGTGGGGGGTTTATACTGCTGTCAAACGTAGTGGTGCTCGCCCTCGGCTGCACCTCACCGCCGAGCTCCGCGCGCCTTGACGGAATCGGCGGTGGTGGTGGTGGCGCGTGCACAGCGGTGTAACGCTCGCGGGCCTCCGCAACGCGGCGCATGATGTACCAGAATGACGAGCCGCCTTCGTTCAGCAGCGCCTGGCACGCGGAGGCGGCGTGGCATGCGTAGAGGCACTGCTGCGTGATGATCGACACAACGAGGGGAGCGGCGCTGATTGATGGGTGAATCGACGGGTCGACGCACGTAAGTCCAACGACCCCGTCGAGCAAATGGTGCGTTGCCTCCTGCATATGGCAAAAAAAAAAAAGCACGCGCGGTTCTTTCTTTTGCTGTGGGTGTATGTGTGCGTGAGCCTTGCCTTATGCTCGGCGCCAGAGACACGCACCCGCAGTGGCCTCTGAGGGTGTGGAGTCTCCCTTCACGCAAAAAAAAGGGGGGGAAAAGACGGAGAACAACAGCCGGAAACGCAACACATGAGTCTACGTGTAGGTGTATGTCTGTATGCGTGCAGCAGACTGCAGTGTGGCGTTTATCGCGCAACAGGAAAGAAAGCGGAATGCATAAAAAGTAAACAAAAAGAGGAAATGAATCAAGCCGTGTTGAAGAAGGAATCAGAGGGTGGCCTCTCTCTCCCAGAGTTCGTCGCCACAGTTGCTCCTGTCCCTGCTGCTGCTGCTGCTGTTGTTGCTGGTGGTGGCGGCGGTGGTGATGTCACCTACTGCGCGGAGAAGGTGAGGTGGCACTTGCCGCAGTACTTGCGGCCCTTGTGGTTCGCCATGAAGACGCCGGCGCCGCAGTTGGGGCCGGGGCACTCGGTGCGGGTGCGCTCCACCTTGAAAGAGCCGTCGTCGTTCTCCGTCACCTTGAAGTACTTCAGCGCGCGCATCTTCTCCAGCTTGTGGCGGTGGATCGGCTTCTTGGGCTTCGTGAAGATCTTCTTCTTCTTCTTCTTGCCCTTACCGCCCTCGACGGGAACCACCACCTGGATGGTGCTCTCGCGCTGCAGCCCGTACTCGGCGAGGAGGGCCTCGTCGCACAGGCAGCGGCCGCCGAAGAAGAGGTCGCCAGCGCACACGCCGGCCTTCGACTTGAGGCTGGCGACAGTCTCCTGCGCGGTGGCCTGGACGACAACGGTCTTGCCGGCAGCGGACTTTACGAAAAGCTGCATGCTTCCTTCTTTGCACAAAGCAAAAAAAAGAGAGAGGCAAACAAACAAAAAAAAACATAATAAGAATTCTGCAGCACATGACGGGCAGAGTTGATCACGACATGCAGTCAGCAGTCTACAGACGACGCCGCGTTGGAAGCCATCCCACTAGCAGCATTCGCTGTTGCCCCACCAGCCACCAACAAAACCGCCACGCCACAGGGATTTGCACAACAGCCCCGCAGCAAACAGCTCCATGTCCTCAAACCTAACACACAGTTTCGCCACCCCGCAACCAACGCGTTTACACACCACCTTCAGGGCATTTCATCAGCAACATCCCCGCGAACGGCCCATCACGTTTGAGGATAGGGGGCCTTCCTTTCCATGCGTGGACGAACGTCACACGTCCTCCTCCAGATTATATCACCAGAGACGCGTGTTGTCTCATGGACTCCACGTCGTATTCCAGGAGCAAGGAGCCGCCCCCCGATTCGCGCACCCCCTCGGGTGCCGATATGATTATTCGCGCTGTTTCCGTAAAGTAAGTGTGTAGATCTTGCGTGGGGCAGAAGGCTCACCACCACGTGCTCCCCTTCCCCCACCCACCTACACACACATACACAGAAACACAAACATACCTTCACACACAGTTTCTTGTTTATTGTAAATTCTTTTTGTTTTGCAGTATAGCAGTCATCATTTCCCAAGCACGAAGAGGCAACGGCCCATGCCCTTGGAATCCATTTGAAGCAAGCGCAACCACTTGTGTTTAGTCCATCCCGCACAGAACCTTCCGCGTCACTGCCCGTGGCACGAGGCAGGATACCAATCCACACTCCTGTATTCTTATTAATCGAAAAGAGTGGAGCCAAAAGAAAAATGACAGAGGGAGTCAATTAAAAAAGTGGGACTTGGTTGTTGTTGTTTTTCATTGTTCAGCTTCCAACCAAATCACCAAGAAGCAACAGAAACATTCTTCTCCTCTTCACCCCCCAACGCATCACACCTTGAAGCCTCAGATGTGACATTGCACATCCAAGACACGCGACTCAAGGCAAAAAAACAGCTTTCTCTGTGTAATGCGCTATGCACCTCCTTCCGGCTGCCCGAAATAGCTTCTTTTCACTGAGCGCAGGAGAGAAATAGAAAGAGTAAAAAACAGAGGGGGAAAAGGAAGCTAGAGCCCCTTGAGCTGCGACGTCACAGCAATCACACACATACACATCTCGGTGTTAGAGAAATTGAATTTGATAGGACCGTCCTTTGCTATTTCCCTGTTCCCCATTTTCGCATGGGGTGCAGCTCATGAAACAAAAAAGCGTCTTTTCCCCGCCCTCACACACACACACACACACACACATGTACGCTCACGCGCGTACACGCACATGCCTGAATTCGCTCCCACCCGTCTTTACGCTCACATTTCCCGCTTCCCGCATCTGTCCTATAGGGCCCCATGCTATTACTGCCCCCTCACTTTCACCCGGCGGAATCGCAGCAAAGCAACCATTGCTGCACCACACACGAGCGTATTCACCCACCGGCAACCGAAAATAACAAACAAAAAATAAACAAAAAAAAAAACAACAAAAAATTTCGTCGTCATTTTGTGTTGGCCCCTGGTTTCTTTTTCTTGTCCTTTTCAAAGGAGGACTCGCCCATAATAATGTCAGTAAAGGTCAATCCAGCATCCTTCAGTCCCTTCCGAATATACGCCACCACCGCCTTGGAGTACGACTGATCGCTGAGCCACACCTCCAGGCGCACTAATTCAGGTGACTCGTGATTAGGGCGCGACGAGAGACGCAAAACATCACACACCGTTTTTCCCTCACATACGTCCTGCGTCAGTGACTCCCCTAAAACTGCGCTCACTACCACGTCTACTGCCTTCTCCGCCACCGCTGCCTTGTAGAGGTCTAAAAGGAGACGCGTTCCGTTCGGGAACGCCTCGTAGCTCGCGTCAATGTTGTTGCGGGCAAATATAAATGTACCGCCATTACCCAGCTGGTGCAACTTGGGCAACGAGTTCATGGTAGACCAAAGCTCCTCCACTGTGCGAATGTAGTCTAGCGGCTGCTGCAGCGTCTGCTTCGCCAGGGCCCAGTCGCCCTTGAAGTCGTACTTCACCGTGTCCGGAGTGAGCTGTGGAATATAGCTGAGAAACCACGGGTCCTTGAGTGCGTGGGTCGCCTCCATATTGTCTGTCCTTGGTGTTTGGTTTGTTTGCCTTTTTTTTACGTTTTTCCTTCTCTAATATTTTTTTTGTTCTTTTGGCCAGTTGAACAATAAATAAAATCTATACACGGCCTCTGCACCTACTATTCTCTGCAATTCTGTATATGTGTATGCGCACGAACGAGCACGAGTTGCCACGGTCGGCGAAGACCAAATAATAATAATAATAATAACAATAATAAGCAAAGGAAACAACAATTCAGGCAGGGTGAAGGTAGCAAGCAGAGGTTGTGTGCGGGCAAACATAGCGACAATGAACTCACCCTTTGCGTCTACCAAGCGCAGAGAATAAAATATAAAAGAAGGCATGGCATAGGTGGGCCTTCACGTGGGCGCCCAAATCTTGCCGCTCTAATGTCCGAAGCCACACCAAAGTTGCTGCGCCCAGCCCTCAGCCCTGCTCCTAATAGCAGTGGTAACGACAACAAGGCATCTAAGTCTCAGAACAATATGTGATCGGAAGAGGGGGTGCAGCATGGGAATTGCACGACTACAAAGAAGCACCGACGCCACAACAGAAAAAAAAACAAGTCTTCAAAAAGGGAAAAACACCCATTTCACCCGCCTTTAACTAACACAGAGGAGATGATCAAACAGAGGCAACAAATCCAATCATTTTTTTTTTTCACTAGGTATACGTCCGTTGTGGTGCTCAAAGCAACGCTCCTAATTAATATTGGTTACACACACAAAAAAAAGAGGCCGAAACAGCTTCAACGCAATTCAGTTGACAAAGAAATGTGCCCCACATACGCGCCTTAAACTTAAACCAACGGCGTAAGCGAAACCACACAGCAGCGCAGCATAGTCCTTGATTTTGCAACAAGGGCAAACGACAACATGAACAGACGCATTATATGGGGAAAAACACGGACTAAAAAAGAGGACCGTGAAAAAAAAAAAAGACAGTCATTGGGAAAGCGCTGTACGTAAGGAGCTCCAGAAGTCAGTATACCTGCTTCACGATGCAGAGTTAACACCACTGTTTTCTTGACTATCGCCGTTACCGGAGGAACCAAGAAGACTGCTCCCACTCTTTCTCTCCTCTTCACGGAAGCTTTCCTCTAAAGTCATTTCGTCCAGTTGATCTGGAATATCGTCCACCTGGATTGTCTCCACTATCGTCTCCCCTTTGAAGACATTCGCTGGTTCCGCAGATCCAACACGGCAACCGTTTTTTCGCCACGCCGTGGATGGGCCCCCGACAAAATCAGGAATGTCTTCTTCACGCATATGCTTCATCATCGACTTTATAGCACCGCCAGGGGGCAAAAACATAACTTTTTTCTTTGTGCTTTCGTCGAGGAAAACACTCAACAACCTCCACACCATACGGAAAAACTTAGAGCAGTTCACAAGGAAAAGCCGCCCCAGGTGCTCGGGATAGTTTGCTTGATCGAGATTAGCTAAGGTTCGCCCAAACGTAATAAGAGACCGATTCATACCCATACCAACATTAGAAAGGTCGACAATATAACAGACGCGTTTGTATTTGTAGTCACTTTCGATCATAATCTTTTTACCCATTTCCATCGCAGAGGCGTGCCAGCGCGTGATGATGCAAGCGTTGTAGCGTCCTACGAATTCTGCAGGTGTGCACTTACCCGCGTTACCTGGACGTTCGCAATATATAAGGTTGTTATCAAAATCTGCCGCACCACTGTAGCCGCATGGATAATCCTCAACAATTCGGTCGGGAAAGTACTCATCGTGTGATGGTTGGAATGCTTGTAGCCATTGAAGGTGGTTGTCAAGCATTAGATGCACCGCCGGCATATCAAAGTTTCGCGCAATGGCAAATTTAATTAACTGAAAGTCATGCCAGTCCGCAACTTTTTCGCCGTAACGCTCTCTAAGAGCAGCAACAACCGCAGGGTTTATCTCTGAGTACAGGTGCTTCGGTTTTATAAACTCACCCTTTCCTGGTTCACACGTAAAGTGGTGTTTGGCCCCTAACTTGCCATCACAGCGATGTGGGGATTGGGTTGCCTCGTCGTACTCAACGCCGACATAGACACCTTTTCCGTCAGCTGGATTATCCTTCCTCTCCAGTGTACCAACCCACCTGATAGTGCCAGTGAGTCCGAGAGCGTTCTGCACCCGCATGCCCTCCTTGACTGCGTTCTTGTCCAGCGTCGTAAGTTGCATTTTTTTGTTTTTAAGCCTTATTGTAACGTCAGCAGACTCAATCTACAGCAGCCAGAGAGTGAAAAAATGGAGGACCGTGTTCTTTGCAGTGATCACACAGAATAAGGCAGCATAAAAAGATGCATACTCCGTGCATCAAAAACCTGATCGTTGAAACTCAAAATAACCAAAAAAAATCAATAATTTATAAATGTGAAGATCTGTGTTTCCATATTGAAGCAGGATCACAGAAACAGTGTAACATCCGCCAGCTCAATTTTTTTTTTTACTTCTCGTTCTCTAGTTATTTCGATCTCCCATAAATACAGAGACATATACAGAGAGCTATGAGCCTGCTCACCCACTCGCCTCATACTACCAGCATTACTTCATTTTTTTTTTCGTACGGTAGAGAATAAAAACCCACATCTCATTCCCCAGTAAGTTTGTACAACTTACGACCGACCTGCTTGTTGCGCTCATCCATACGAGACTGCGCCTTGTACTGCTGCATAGGCCTGTACTCTTTAAATTGCATCCCAAAGTCACCTTGTCCTTTTGTGAGCCGCCGTAGATCAGAGATAAAGCCAAACATTGTGTCCAGTGCCGTCTCTCCACGAATAATTGCATCTGGTCCATTAACACCCGTTTCAGTGACAACACCCTCACGCTTCGCAAATTCTGTAGCTACATCAGTCATGCATTGGGCTGGAACCGTTATTTCTACATCCATGTAGGGTTCCACGAGGGTGGGCTTGAGTTGAGGCAGGAGGGTTTCCCACAGCTCCTGTGTAGCATTCTTAAAGGCCATGTCTGTTGAATCCACCTCATGCATAGCACCACCACTGAGGTGAAAATGTACACCCCACACCGGTGCAGCCATTAATTCACCCTTCACAAAGATCTTCCGTTCAAGTTGCTTAATTACGGACTTTTGAAGAGCTTCGCGAATGTCGCCGTTAGAGCACTTGACACTGACCTTATTCTTTAGACCCTTCTCTACTGACATATCGATGGGCAGAACTTCAATATATCCCTTTAAATGTGCCCATTGTCCCGCACCACCACTTTGGCGTTTATAAACGAAATCAAATTCCTTTCTCTCTGTAATCACCTCCCGGTAGTTTACTGTCGGTTTCCCTATCTCAACCTCTAGGTCGTATTCGCGTTTCAGACGCTCAATGTAGATGTCAAGGTGCAGTTCTCCCATTCCCTCAACGATGTCCTCGTTAGTTTCTGGATTTCGGTAAAAGGCAAACGTTGGATCCTCACGCATAAATGCATTCATACGTTCACGCAACCTACTGAGATCGCGGTCATTTTTTATTTTGACAGAGGCAGAAATGACACGTGGAGGAACGTACATATCCTCGCAAGATATTAATGGTCCACTTTGCGGGCCTGCCTTCATAATTGTATCCCCAGACGTCGCATCAATTTCACCTTGAATGGCGCAAATGTCTCCTGCCTTTACCTCATCCACTTGTTCCGCAGAATCCGCGTGCATTCGGACAAGTTTCGGTGGTATAAAAGTCTTGCCACTTCGAACGTTCAGAAGGTGTTCCTTTCTCATCTTCCCTTCGTAGACACGAACATAATTTGACAAACCCGTCTTTTTCGTTTCTTCCAGTTTAAACACAAGAGCAACAAGAGCCTTTTCATCGTCAGTTTGCAAGACAACTTTGTCTTCCTTTACAATGGATACGTTTCCTTCCTCATCCTTTACTTTCTTCAGCGAATGGCCCGAGTTTTCTCGTTCCATTGGTGACGGAAGGTAACGGCAGACAGCATCAAGAAGAAGCTGTACGCCCTTGTTGCGATATGCAGAGCCCATAAGCACTGGAACAAATTTATTAGCAATAGTTGCACGTCGAATAGAACCGTGAATCACTTCCACAGAGGGCTCTTCGTCATTCAAAAACAGTTCTTCCATTTCGCTGTCACATTCTGCAAGACGTCCAATAAGCTCCTTTCGTGCAGTTTCAACATCCTCCTTTATATAAGCGGGAATTTCTTCAAATCTGACGGCTTCGCCGTTTGGACCGTCAAAATAAACGGCGCGACGTTCGATAATATCTACTACTCCTTCGAAATCCTGCGCTGTGCCCATGTTGAGCTGAATAAAAGCAGCGTTAATACCCAAACGTTCCTTGGCCATCCGGAGAGCACGCTGTGGATTAGCATTATCACGATCAAGCTTGTTAATAAAACAGATACGTGGCACTCCATACCGCCTCATCTGGCGATCCACCGTCAAGGTTTGGCTTTGCACACCACCAACACCACACATAAGCATGATGGCGCCATCAAGAACTCTAAGAGCACGTTCAACTTCTATGGTGAAGTCGACGTGCCCAGGCGTATCAATGACATTGATAACGTAATCTTTCCATTTGCAGTGTGTTGCCGCAGAGCGGATAGTAATTCCCCTTTCCTTTTCGAGCTCCATAGAGTCCATAGTAGCCCCAACTTCAGTTCCTCCTTTCACCTCATGAATCTTAGCGATGCGACCACTATAAAACAGAATACGTTCAGTCAGGGTTGTCTTACCACTATCAATGTGAGCACTGACACCAATATTCCGCACCTTTCCGATACTCTTGAGGAATTGAGGTGTTGCAAAGCGAACACCGTTAAGGTGACGTAAAGAGATTGTACCAAATCGCCTCATAAATATTGTGTACCAAACAGCTAATAGGACTTGGGGGAAAAAAGAAAAAAGAAACCAAATACATAAAGGTAGGAAAAAGGGTTTTTGTTTACACCACACACTAACAGAAAATCTCAACAGTATACAAAGCATTTCCTTCGAAATATAATGCGCAAACACGCAAACGTGAACAAACATGGTGAAAAACACTTTGACTAATAAAACAAAATGCTACTCTAAAAACACTTTCTTCTTGCTTGTCTATCTTACATGCAACCTGATTCACGTCGCAACGTTTGAAGATTGTCACAAAGCTCGATGTACTCTTGTCGGAGCCTTGCTAAATCTCCTTCATTATTTTCGTCACGGTCATGACGATTTGATCGTGCAATTCGAGTACGCCCAATCTCTTCTTCGAGTTTTTGAATCGTATTATCCTTCAACGCTATGGCTCCCTTGAGTGCCTGTCGATCATGAATATGTAACGGTAAAACGGTACTTTCAAGTTGATCCTTCAGATGAGCCTCTTTACGTAGTGCAATGTACAATTGTTCCATCTCTTTCTCCCTTTGTTCTTTCAACTCTCGGATTTCCTCCTTTATCACTCGGTTTTTCTCATCGCTTAACCTCTTCAATTTCTGCTGATCATCGGCAAGGCGATTTGCTTCACGAACCTTTGGTGTCTGATGAATCTTGATATTGCGTAAGCCTTGTATTTCGTTACGCAAATGGGCCCTCTTAGCTTGGAGTCGGTTAAACTCGTGAATAGTTTCCACACCGCTGACATCAGATGCCATAATCTCATTTTGCAAATTGGCTATCTCACCCTTTAAAACGTCAATTCTTCGCCTGAGTGAGAAAATACTGTCAGATCTTTCAACGTTTCTTTCACCGGATTCATCATTAGTGTGGCCCCCGTTAGCGGATTCGTGCAGCATTCTATGTAGTCTTTCGTTCTCTTCCATTGCAGCTCTAGCAAGTTCTTCTTCTTCGTTAGAAAGCGTGGTCATCCTTCTGATCTTTTTTGTTTTTCTAAGGTCAGAAAGTTCAAATAGGAAAAAAATAACAGTTTTTTTTTATTGCCTTGTTGAATTCCTCTCAACGATTAACTAGTTACCCATATATTATACTGTTTGAGCAGGCTAATGTCGGCATCCACCACATCAAAACTTCAGTCGGTTGTCTATTGGCACATGATGCACAAAATGCAAGAAACTTTGAACGAGATAATACACCCGAACAAAACCGGAATGTAAGGGAAGAATAAAAAAAACCTCTTATCTAAAATGCGTCATGCATCTACACTCTAATTTCATTGAACCACGGATGTTGCAGGGCTTCTTTGGCAGATATTCGCTCCGCAGGGTTATAGTTGAGCATTTGGGAGAGAAGATCAATCGCCTCACTGTCGAGTTGTGGTACGATTTGTCCAAGTGGTTTTCCTGGCCACCGAGGAAAAACATCTCGGTAATCTGGAAGGGCAGAAACACCAGGCCACGACCCTTCAACATCCATCGGTGTACCGAGGACCTGAAATATTTCGAAAAGCTGACCAATTTCACTGTCTCCACGAAAAATCACCTTACCTCGAGCCAACTCTGCGAATATGCATCCAACACTCCACATGTCAACGGCTGGTGTATAATGCTTTTCACCCAGTAGAATCTCTGGTGCCCGATACCAAAGCGTAACGACTTCATGAGTATATGTGTGCATTGGAATTTGAAAGGCACGGGCTAAACCAAAATCCGCAAGCTTAAGGACATTATCGGCGGTGACAAGAATATTTGCAGGTTTTAGGTCACGGTGTACAATTCGGTGTCGGTGACAAAAATACAGTCCGTCAAGAAGCTGATAGATAAGTCTCTTCAGTGTAGGACCCGTAAAAACGCCACCTCTTTTTTCAAGTGCCTTTTTCAGATCGTGGTCAACGTACTCAAAGATCAAATATAGTTTCCCATCGGCGCATATAACATCCAGCAAGTTAACAATGTTAGGATGATGGATTTCTTGTAGAATCGAAACCTCTCGTAGGGCTGTCTGTGGAATCCCCTCTTCCGTACGATCCAACCTCACCTTCTTCAAAGCGACAATTTGGCCAGTAACCTTGTCAACTGCACGATATACAACACCGTATGTTCCTTCGCCTAGGATATCCATTCGATTGTACCGTTCAAACTGCTCCCGGCCCGAGGAAGAAATAGGACGACCGGATAACGTTCCAAGAGTAGACATTTTTGCTCTTTTTCTGTCTAAAGAAACAAATAAAATTTAAAAAAAGCCAAAATAAAAACAAGGCGAAAAAAACCACAGTTTTCGCCGTTCTTCACTAAAGAACAAATAAAAAAGAGACAGGGCGTGTTTTTGATATTCAACAAAAAAAAGAAAAGAAAGAGTACCACTAAGATAAACGCTTAAAACAATCACACCTTAGCAAAACGCTCAGAAAAAAGACTCATGGTGAGGGCAATACCTTGGTCATGCGTTAAGAAGTCTTTCAATGGCAAAGTCGAGATTACCCTGTGCTTGCTGCAGAGCGGCGAGATTAGCCTCCTCGTTTGGAAATCCCATTTCCCTCAGCTGCTGCAACTGGGATTGATAGATAGCACGAGGATCGCCCTGTGGCTGAGAAAAACCAGTCGCCGGAAGAGGATTCATTGGCTGTGTGCTTGGCTGTCCAAAGAAAGGAAGATTCTGACCGGGGGGCGCACCACCTGTCGCCTGCAACATTTGCTGCATAAAGGCCGGATTACTCATCAATTGCATTGTGTGTTGAAGAAGAGCTGGATTATTCAGCAGCTGCTGCATCAAAACATCATTGCCACCAAAACGGTCTGTAGGTGATTGCTGCATCAGTTGCTGCATAATTTGCGAATTTCCCATGGTTTCTTGAACCAACTGAAGAAATGCCGGATTTCGCCACATTTGTGCCATGCCATCCGAGGACATTGGCCACCCCGGTGCTGCATTTGGAAAAATACTGCTGGCCGTTCCCTCTGCCGCCGGTGGGTTTCCAGATAAAGCCATATAAGGGTTAGTAACTTCAGATTCTCTTTGTGGTGTAGGATTGGATTGGGTTCCCTGAGCGTTTGTAGTACTTTGGCTTGTTGTAGGCGCTGCTGGTGTTTCCTTTTTTGCAGACTTTTGACCACGGACAATATGAACTGCCTGGCCATATTCCATTCCCATGGCAGAAAGAACGTCGGTATCCTTGAGCACTCTGCCTCGCAATACAACTCTTTGTTCGTCAGCAGGAATATCTATAACTGCAGCCGCAAGCTCCTTGAACCCTGCCACGCTTATACCTAAATCAGGGACATCAACGGCTCTTTGAGTCCCATTAGATAACTTAATAGTGACGCTCATATACTCAATACTACAAGGGTAAAGTAAAAAAAAACAAAAAAAAAATAAAAGACGAAAGAAGGAAAAACAATAAATATCAAAGCAATTCGCCCGAAGTCCTACAACCACAACACTGATAAGAAAAAAAAACACAACAAACAAAAAAAAGCTTGTTTCCTTGAAACACAAAACATCATTGAATCTCTTTGAGTATTGTGTTATGAAAAAACGCGTGCAAAAACTTGATATCATCATTCGTAACAAGATCAGCGGCCCCATCAACTCGATGCTGGCCAAACAATACAGACTCGTAAACGCGCAGAAAATCTTCGGTTTGCGTTGATGGTAAAGCACTCTCTACACAAGAGAGGCAGCA